CTAATATCTGTTTATTTCTGGAGCAAAATTTCAATGTAAGAATTTTCTAAAACTGTTATTGTTATCGTTCATATCGTACAAATTTGAAAAATAGAAGAGATCGATAAAAAAAAAAAGAAAGTATGTGAGAATGATGGAGCAATAAAGGAATCGAGAAAATAAGCCAAGCCGGATTGACGAACGTCTGTTCTTCTTGTCGAATCACAGATCACATGTCCTTGGGAGGTCTTGGCGATAGTTTCTACGAGTATCTGTTGAAAGCGTGGATCCAATCCGGCAAAGAAGACGTCGAAGCCCGACAAATGTACGACGAAGCGATCGCCGCCATAGATCAACACATGATCAAGACGTCTCAGGGCAAGCTGCTCTACGTGTCCGATCTGAAATACGACAGGCTCGAGCACAAAATGGGTCATTTGGCGTGCTTCGCCGGTGAGTTACAAAAGAAACTTCTCTCTTTCATTCCTTTGCTCGAACAATGAGATATCACCGTGAAATCAAACGAAAAAAAACCACAAAGATTCTTTTATATCGTTGTATGTACGAATGTACGTGTTTCAAGAATCTAAACTTTGTCCTAGCCACGAAGTTAATGTATTAATTTTTTATTTTTTTTCAAATTCAATAAACTGTACTCACTCTCGAGTAAAATAGAATTTTGCACGATATCGGAAAACGACAGCTAGTAATTGTTATAAAAATGATAAGAGCAGTCTCGCTACCAAGCAAGATATGTTCAGATGGATTAGAATCGTGTTTTAAGAGATTGTCTCGCTTGTTTGCAGGCGGTATGTTCGCATTGGGGGCGAAAACCCTCGAGAACGAATCGTCTGAAAGATACATGACGATAGCCGCTGGCCTGACCAACACGTGCCACGAATCCTACGATCGAAGTTACACGAAGCTCGGACCGGAAGCCTTCCACTTTATCGAGGGTAACGAGGCGAAGAGCTTAAAGAACGGCGAGAAGTACTACATTCTTCGACCAGAGGTAAGCTCCGTTTATATAAATCTCGAGCAACGCAGATGTTCGTCGAAATTCGACATTTTTCTTATTCAAAGTCGATCGTTTCAAACTTTGTTTTAATTAAGCCTGTCGAGTTGTCATCTTGTAATTTTTTTTATAATTGTTCTCGTGTTTTCTAATTACACGTCTTATTATTGTAACTAATATAAGTACAATATTTTATTGAGAACTTTCGGTAGCTTACGGAAGACGTGTAAATCGTGCTCGTAAATAGGTTTCGAGAGCCTTCGACTATATGTCGCGAGGTGCAGAAACGATTAAACAAACGATAAATTTCGCCGTTTCGGTGTGTCCCCCCTCCCCTCTTCGGAATGTGTTCTCTCGACCGGTAATGAAAGCTGAAATATTCTTCGTCCTTTTTTTTCGCGTGACTCGCGCCGGTGCAAACACAGGCCGCTCGCCAAATTCCCAGGTAAAATATTTCCCTTTCAGACGTTCGAGTCGTACTTCGTGATGTGGCGGCTGACAAAGGACCCGAAATACCGTGAATGGGGCTGGGAGGCTGTTCAAGCGCTCGAGAAATACTGTCGTGTTCCAGGGGGCTTCACCGGGCTCCATAATGTTTACGTGATCGATCCTCCTCAGGACGACGTCCAGCAGAGCTACTTCTTCGCCGAGACGCTCAAGGTACCGAGATTTCTATCGCTGATTCCTCTGATTTTTAGTCAATTTCCTTGTGTACACATAGTAGAAACTTTGTTTGCTCTTGTGTCTAACGCTGCCGATTCTACGGTAACAGAATATTTCGATCGTCAAGAACGTTACGTTGGTTGCGAGAATTTTTTGGACTTTAAAATCTGTTGGGAATAACGAAATTGACGAAAGCAATGTAAAATATTCGAAATACTCGTGTCGGTAATAAAATCGTAACATTGGAATTAATATTATCGTAATAATATCGTGGATGCTTGAAGGTACTTAAAAAATTGCCTGCATTTCAATAACATCTACTCGAAATGTTTAATTCCTGCCGGCAGGATTAAAATATTTTGCATAATACAGCATTTTTGATGTATTCGCAGATTCGGGAATGATGTATTATTCAGTTTTCAATTTGATATTCTTCCAACTCTCCAATCACGTTAATTGACTATTCTGTTACACGAGTATTCCCGGTTTAAAGTTTAAACCCTAGCAAGAATCCCTACTAAAGCCTGCTCGTCGTCGAGTTTTCGCCACGATATCTCACAATCTGTTCCCATTTTCCTAAACGTTAACGAACATTTCCCCGGTCGTTAGACCGGTTACATGGCGTTCACAAATTTTCATTTAACCTTTGCGCACCGAGAGCCGCATGGCCGATGAAACATTTTTCGAGCGTTTGCAACGCGTTTAAAGTTGCATTATCCGGACAGGGGGCGGCGTAGCGCGGCCGCGTCATTAACTTCCGGTTAAAGGGGTTGGAGCGCGAGAATTCCTCCGCTCCAGCCATCGCAAAACGCTTCCAAAACGATTAGAACGGTCAGAAACAAGGGCCAAGGAAATTGCATTTGCCAATTATTAGCGCTGACGAGTTAATCAACTTATTAACAGCTTGCTCGATTCGCTGCTCGAATTTCTTGCGACTTGTTCGCTCTCGGCTTCAAATTTCATTGACCGCTTGTTATTTCAAAGTGGCCTGTTATTAAACGATTCGCTATGGCCGTATCCTGAATTGTAGTCTGAGGTCTCCGGGAATTATTATTAACATTTTCGTTAATAATAAAGGTAAACGTTAGTCGAGCAATCACCGTGCATTAGGATAGGCATAGGATGTAATTATTTGTAAAGTAAACTAATATCGAGTAATAATATGCGAATATAATTAGTTCTCGATTGTATGCCGATGAGAGAGTGTTATTACAGTCTCAATCGGTTATGATCTCATTATCTCTTAATTGCATAATTTTCTGGAATGGCGTTTCATTCAGGTGCTATTGAATATGCGAATTAATGTTTTAAACGTAACTACAGAGAAGTCGTGATATCACGAATTACAAATTGATATATTCGTTGCTATGATAAAATATAATTGCTCTTCACTTTTACTTATTATAATCCGCATGGTATAATAATTCACCAGAACATTAGAAACGCTTCAGTTTCTTGAAATGTCATAAAACATTGAACATTAATTTCATAGTTCATTTGTATTTCATCGTGTGTGCAACAATCTAATAATGAAAGTAAACAAATTGACAAACAATCTCAGGATCGCCTGATGAAAGATAAAAACGCTCAAGCTAACCAGCATGCAATTGTTGAATCTATGTTTCTTGTCTCTTTCAGTACCTCTATCTGCTGTTCAGCGACGACGATCTCATAAATCTGAACGACTGGGTGTTCAACTCCGAGGCGCACGTGCTTCCCATCAGGGGTAACCCACTGTACCGGCCGTCTCCACCTTTATAATTCAAAGGGATCGTCTCACACCTCGAAGAAACGACGCACCGACGACACAGCAGGAAGAAACCGTTCCAACTAGCTCGAAACAACCGGAAGACTTCGGTCGCGCGCCAGCAGGAATGAAGAGAGCAGCAGCGTGAAAGAAGCGTACAACAACAACAACTCGGGGAGAGAATAATCGAGAACTGGAAGAAACAAGATCAATGGGAAATTTCAGTTCGAGTGTACGCGTTGCGACTGAGAACACGCAGAGAAGGGACGTAGAAAACAGTGAGCAAGTTTCTGGATTTAAAAAATTACACAAAAAGAAAGAAAGAAAAGGAAGGGATCGAGAAAGAGGAGGAAGAAGAGAACGAATCAGAGGGCGCGTTGTTATCTGTGAGATAAAATAGACAGATGGACGAACAATGAAAGAAATAGGAAATAGCAGACAGAGGCGGAACGACGACGTGGATTACCCGGCCCGCGGGATCCACGTGTCGCCCGCGGTGAATACAATTAAAGGAAAAAAAAAGAAAAGAAGAAATAATTAAAAATAATTATTTTAGGTAAAACGAGATATAATAGGGGACAGGGAGAGAGCGTGGAGATGATAACGAACATTATTTAAGCGAAGAAATATATACATATACACGGAGAGACATACACGAAAAAAAGAGAATTGCACAGAGACACACGCAAGTACGTTTGTAAATAGCGAGAAAAAAGAAAAGAACGAAAAAGTACGTGAACAAAGATATATATATATATACACACACTATATAGATAATAGATCGCGCGAGAAAGAACGAGTGAAAGAAACGAAAGAGAGAGAGGAAAGCAAGGGAAAACGATACGAATGCAAGAGAGAATTTTGAAATAGAGAAACAAAGTGTATGTGTATATGTATCTGCCTCTGTGTGTGTGTGTGTGTGTGTGTGAGAGAGAGAGAGAGAGACATGGAATGAAAATTCAACCGTTTGCCTGAATGCTTTGCCCATATTCTTTTCTCGCCCGCGACATGAAAATGGTCCAACCAGCTGAACCTTTTTGAAGAGATATTCGTACCGAACCTTCCAGTTTGATTCAAACGACGAAAGTATTTAATCGATGTTTCTCTTTCCCTTCTTCCCTTCTGTTCGAGCTTTCTCCGAAAACGCGACACGTCGACGTGCGAGGAGCAAAAATTAAAAAAAAAAAAAAAAAAAAAAAAAAAAAAA